AACATCAGAGATGTGCAGAATGACAGCAGCAGGTTATTTAACTGACTAAGGTTTCTATCATTACATTTGATTTTATTTGTTCCTGCTCCCGGTGGTTGGAACCTTTATTCCACTCTGGATTCTTGTGAGTGTAGTCTTTGTTCACTTCACAATAAAAAAGAAAGAAATAAACAGTTTTGAAAACTTCTGTATTCATTCTTTTCCTGCTTTGTGTGTCAACGTTTACGGTTGCTAAGCAACAGAGCATAGGCGGTAAAACCCGCCGAAGGGTAGACCTGGTCGAATTCACAGCCTAAACTCTTCCGGTCTCCTTATTTTCAAGGACTTCGAAGGATCCAGTCTAGGTAGACCGCGTCCTTGGAGGACACGTCCTAGGTTTTCGAACAGAGCCTTGAGCTGGAAAAGGGTAGAGTGCCTTCTCCGGGTTGGGGAGGATGTACTGCCCCTTGTGGAGGAGTTTAAGTATCTTGGGGTCTTGTTCATGAATGAGGGGAAGATGGAGCGGGAGATCAATAGGCGGAATGGTGCGGCATCTGCTGTGAAGCGGGCCCTGTAACGGTCTGTTGTGGTGAAGAGAGAGCTGAGCCAAAAAGCAAAACTCTCAATTTACGGGTCGATCTACTTTCCTACCCTCATCTATAGTTCATGAGCTTTAGGTCAAGACCGAAAGAATGAGATCCCGGATACAAGCGGCTAAAATGAGTTTTCTCTGTAGTGTGCCTGGGCTCTCCCTTAGAGATAGGGTGAGGAGCTCAACCATCCGGGGAGGACTCAGAGTAGAGCCACTGGTCCTCCACATCGAGAGGAGCCAGTTGAGGTGGCACGTGCATCTAATTAGGATGCCCCCTGGACGCCTCCCTGGTGAGGTGTTCCAGGCACGTCCCACCGGGAGGAGGCCCAGGGGGAGACCCAAGACATGCTGGAGGGACTATGTTTCTTGGCTCCCCTGGGAGCGCATTGGGATTCCATCGGAGGAGCTGGCCCAAGTGGCTGGTGAGAGGGACGTCTGGGCCTCCCTATTGAAGCTGCTACCCCCGCAACCCGATCCCGGATAAGCAGAAAAAATGGATGGATGGATGGATGGATGGATGGATAACTTCTCCAACAAGCAAAGGAGGATTTATCCAATGGCCAGATTTGAACTCAGGCTCTAAAAAGCAAACAGATTAATGCTGACGGAGGAGCAACAGGAAAGACTGGAGAAGACAGAAGGTGAATGCCATTAAACTATTTATTTTACAGTTTTAGTTTGGCTGAAAATATCAGAGAAAACTTCGAAAAAGATTGTTTTTAATTTATATGAAACCATATAAAGAAACACATTTTTACAATCCATGGTTTTATTGCTGCTCGTTCATCAATTTAAAAGTGATTACAATAATTAAAAACATCCACAGCAGAATATAATCCATAAAATCAGTTGTATAAAATAGGAACTTACTTTCAATCATAGCAGGTAAATAGAACATCTACAGAATCATGGACAAGACTATTAGAATTAGTTCAAAGGAAAATTATAATTTCAAAAATCTTTAAAAAGCAGAAACTTCACACTTCTAGAGGAGAGTCAGATTTCTTTAATACATTATTAAGACAAAGGCTTTTTACCAAGTTAACCCATTTAGGCCTAAAACGCCTGGAAAAAACACCTTAAAAACCTATGGCCGATTTAAAAAAATACCCCTAAAACCTGAAGTTTTTCTGTAAATTCAGCAACTGTGTCAACGCCTAGTAAATTATCATATCTCAGCTTCTGTAGCAGATAGAAACAAAATTCAAAAAGTATTTGAAAGCTTACACCTGTGGCTTTCCTGGGAATTGAGTTTATTTAGATACTCCTTCACAAAAATAAACAATGTAAAAGTAAAGTGAACATTAATATTTTCAATCAAAAATAGTAAGAAAAAAATAATAAATAAGTAATATCAACTTGTGTCAGTGACTTGATGAACTGTTAAGAACAAGAACAGAACATACTGATGACTTAAACAGTCTGATTCACATGTAACGACGATAGTGCTTGCCGAAGCACTCAATGTGCAGTGGCAGGCTGCACTGTTTACAACCATACACAGTTGGCCCACCTACTTTTTCAGTGTCCGAGACAAGCAAACACTCCCTACACTGTTTGCGCTTGTCATAGACTTTTCCAAAGTCATGTTGTGGAGGAGGTGTGTCTACTCTGCTACCTGCAGATGGAGCTGGAGAGGGAGGAAGACTAGGAGATGGTGAGGCAGGAAGAGAAGATGGAGGAGTCACATTAACAGCCCTGGTCCTGTGCGGTGTGATGAGCTGCTCGGCCAGGTCCTCCAGCCAGGGTTTGTAGCCTCTGTACTTGTGTCTGAAGGCTGTTCCTCCAACAGACCTTGCAGCAATGTAGGCATTGTGGCAGGACATAGCCAAGAAAAAGAAAAACACCCTCCTCCACCACTTCTTTGATCGATGCTGGAATCCATAATAGCCAATCATTTGATCAAGCAGATCGACGCCTGGAACACACAGAACACTCAGTTGACACACATGAAACTCAGACATTTGCACTCCAAAGACCAACAAAACAAACCTTTCATGTGCTTCTGGTAGTCTGCGAGGGAAGCTGGCACTTCCACCGGGACGTGGTTGGCTCCGTCTTTTTTTCGATTCACTGTCCCTGTCTGAGTTGGATCGTGATGGTTGGAGAGCACCATGATGGTTTTTGTGTCTTGCCAAATACAGAACGTGAGGTCGTCCTTCTGAGCTACCCTGAACTCGTGCTTTTCCATTGAGGCGTTTTTTCTAAGCCTCTCATTCTTTGGGAGTCCAGTCCGGTTGGCACGAACAGTGCCACAAGCGTTCAACCCATGGGTCTTCATCTCCTCAAACAGAGTTACCCCCGTGTAAAAATTGTCCATATAGATGGACAGGTAAGACCCATAATATGGTCTGGCTAATTCCATCACCACACGGTGTGCGAGACCCTTCTCTATAGAGCCTTCACGACCAGCATACACCTGGAAGTTGGTCACATATCCTGTGGAGCTCTCTGCCATTACCCATACCTTGACACCCCACTTTGTCAGCTTCATGGGGAGGTACTGCCTGAAGGAGAGGCGCCCTTTGAATTTGATCATGCTCTCATCTACAGACACGTTGCCATCTACCTCATACAGTGCCTGGAATCGGTCAAGGAGGTAATTCAGAAACCAGCGCATTTTCCATAGCTTGTCATCCTTGTTGACATCTGCTGCCTGGTTATTCTGAAGGTGTAAATACCTGAAAATGCACACATAAGTTATGTTTTAGTTTTATGTGAAAGCATCACATAAAATATTGTCAAGCTTTTGTAACACATTTGGCATACAGTTGTTTATTTTTTTTATTTTCAACACTATTCACATTGTAGATTATGACTGAAGACACATGTAATTATGTGATGAACAAAAAGTCTAAGGTAACTCAAAATATATTTTATCTTTGAAATTCTTCCAAAAAAAAAAGTGAAAAGCAGTAATCAAAAAGAAAAAAAAAAATTCAACCTTTTATTTTTTCCATATGTCATGTCTTCATTGAGAATGTGCAACATAAAACGTTTTTAAAATAAAGAACAAACATTACATAAATAACTATCTGATGATTACTTATTAACAGTATTATTATGCATAATAATGCATATGTCTGTGTTATAAATTGCAATACAACTTACCTCCAGATGGCCACAAATCTGTCCCGGGACATATTTTGGGGGAACTGCGTCCTGAAGAGAGGTTTACTCTGTCGCCAATAATCTCTTTGTACTGGCAACACAAGAAGTCCCATGCCCATACACAGCCCAATAAATGTCTTCATCTCCGTCACAGTCACGGGTGACCACTTTGCCATCTTTGCTCTTGTTGGAGTTTGGTTTGTTTGGTCACTGTACCTATTCGTCTCGGTAACAAGATGCATCCAAAGTTCTTCATTAAAAATATGCTCAAATGCCTGCAGCGGTGTGGCGTCTGCAGGCAAATCAACTTTCACTCCAGGTGTGCGGTTGAAAACACTCCGTGCATTGCGGTGGTAGTTCTCCGTCTTCCAGTCACTATCAAAACCTTCAAACTCATCGTCGCTAGCGTCCGGCTCGTCGTCTTCGAACATATGTCTTAACCACAAATCCCGGTCGATTGGTTCAGCGCGTTCAAAGTCATCATTTTCATCTATACCGTCATCAAAGCCGACACACTCCTCAAAATCACTGCCTTCTGACAACTCTTCTCTGTCAAACTCCTCCATGTTTGCTTGAAAAAAAACTTCTTTCTTCTTGCTTGACTTATATGCTCTCCCGGCGTCAATGGTAGAATTACGCAACAGCGCCCCCGGCTTGAATGGTAGAAATGCGGTAATGCTTTCCCGGCCTAAATGGGTTAAAGCAGGTTCAAACTGATCAGTAAAATAACAGCAACATCATCAATCTAGTTTATCTTTTTAAACAAACATGTTTCATCATTTTAGGACTTCAATTTACCTGAACTACAGACTCCAGCCTCTAAACTGAGTTCTTTGATGTCCCGTAGTTTAACCCCATAATCCCAGCACCCCCTTTCAAGGCGGCTGGAGCTACTTTGCAACATTAATTAGCTTGTAGCTGACTAACTCTGAGACTGACACACACTTCTATATGTCCCAAATCTTCATCTGAGACTCCTCTATAGATGATCTACTTCATTCTAATATCTATTGACCATAGCTCTAACACTGTGGCTAAAACAGTTGGAGTTTTGGTGGGCCTGGTTTCAACAACACACGTAGCAGGGCTGATTGATGCATTGCTAATGAAAGCCAACAAGACACTGAATTAGCTAAACTCTCATCATTTGCAGCCTACCTTTAAAAAATCCTCCAAAATCTTCATAAAAACTGAGCAAAGCACATTAAATCTGTCCTACCTTTGCTTTCATTTTCATCTGAGGATATTTTCATCTGAATAAAAGTCTTGTTCCTGCAGTATATCCAAGCAATAGCTTATCATTCAGCTAAAAGATAAATGAATAAATTCATTCAGAAAAAGTTGTGCCACACCATGCCAAAATGGCACAGTATGGGTCCGTCTGGATTCTTTCCAATTTAAACTTAAACTATAACTTCTCAATGGCTTGTTGTATGGACACAAAACTTGCTTCATCTGTAACCAAGATAATTTTGTTGCACTTTATTATGATTATTCCCTAATTACAGAAAATGTAAGACATTTTGAATGTAAAAACTTTTTTTTTGTTAGGGTAGCCCAAAATAATTAACTTTCAAATTTTCACATCCATATTCAACCAGGACCTTAATATTTACCAGGTTTACAGTATAACAGCTTATCTGTTCTAGTTTTTATGTGAAAAGAGCTCTTCATTAATTGGTTCTCTCAAAACTTTGCTCCAAAAAGACCATTAACCTTTGAGTTTTTCATGTTATGAGGTGAAGGAGTTTCTAGATGGACATTTCATCACTAGTCAAGAAAACGCCTCAACTGTTAATTCCTGTGACCACTAACTGCTATGACTTATGTATTGCAATTTATTTTTTTAATAAATCATTCCACATCATGCATGAATATTGTAATCTAACTACTCAAATTACCCTCTTGTTTAAAACCTTTGTTTTAAATCATTCAGGAAAACAGCCTCTCATACGTGTGAATTCTCACGTGTCTCTCTAGTCAAATTACCTTTTTAGAGTAAAACGGTTGCCTCAAATCTTGCATGAAAAAGGCTTCTCACCTGTGTGAATTCTGATGTGTCTAACAAGATTAGATTTCCTTGTGAACATTTTTCCACAGGACAGACATCCATAAATCTTCTCACCAGTGTGAATTTTCCTGTGTCCAGTCAAATGATGTTTAACACTAAAACGTTTGCCACAAATCGTGCAGGGAAATGGCTTCTCACCAGTGTGAATTCTCATGTGAATAGTCAAATTTCCCTTTTCAGTAAAATTCTTGTTACAAATGGTACAGGAAAAAGGCTTCTCACCTGTGTGAATTCTGAGGTGAGCAGTCAAACTACTTTTTTTAGTAAAATTCTTGTTACAAATGGTACAGGAAAAAGGCTTCTCACCAGTGTGAATTCTCATGTGATTAACAAGATCTGACTTGGAGGTGAAGCTTTTTCCACAGGATAGACATTCAAAGGGCCTCTCACCAGTGTGAATTCTCATATGTCCAGTCAAACAATGTTTTAAAGGAAAACGTTTGCCACAAATCATGCAGGAAAAAGGCTTCTCACCTGTGTGAATTCTACTGTGTTTAGTCAAACTACTTTTTCCAGTGAAATTCTTGTTACAAATGGTCCAGGAAAAAGGCCTCTCACCTGTGTGAATTCTGATGTGTCTAACAAGATTAGATTTCTTTGTTAACATTTTTCCACAGGACAGACATCCATAAATTTTCTCACCAGTGTGAATTTTCATGTGTCCAGTCAAATGATGTTTAACACTAAAACGTTTGCCACAAATCGTGCAGGGAAATGGCTTCTCACCAGTGTGAATTCTCATGTGATTAGTGAAACTACATTGTTTAGTAAAATTCAGAACAAGCTGCTCTTCCTGCTCACTTATGGGGAGCTCCATTGTTTCCTCTTTTGTCCAGGGATGTTCTGGTTCTTTCTGCTCTTCTTTTATCTGCAGAGGTTCTGGTTCCTCTTGGTCCGAACTGGAATTCCTCTCTTGTCCACAGAGCTGCTGGTCAAAGAAATCCTCCTCTTTTCCAACATAATCCTGTAGATGGTCTAGAAAGACAAACAGCAGAAACACTTTCTGTTGTAGGTTAAAAAAGTACACTTCACTTTGATCTGTGTGTTGATCTAACTACATATAAATTCAATTCAATTCAGTTTATTTATATAGCATCAGTTCACAACACAAGTCATCTCAAGGCACTTTACAGTTCAACAAAGGAGAATTTAGAGAGGCCAACTAACCTAACAGTCATGTTTTTGGACTGTGGGAGGAAGCCGGAGTACCCAGAGAGAACCCCGCATGCACAGGGAGAACATGTAAACTCCATGCAGAAAGACCCCGGGCCGGGAATCAAATCAAAAAAATATTTTAAACATTTCTTTATTAAAGAAATGTTAAAAATATTTTTTAGATTTCGTTTTCTGAACTGTTCAGGTTTTACTGCACCTTTTGCCCAAAGACTGCTGGAGCACTAGCTCCACTGTGACACTATGGATAATCCCCAAATGAGGTTATGCACACACATTTAACCCATTTAGGCCGGGAAAGCATTACCGCATTTCTACCATTCAAGCCGGGGGCGCTGTTGCGTAATTCTACCATTGACGCCGGGAGAGCATATAAGTCAAGCAAGAAGAAAGAAGTTTTTTTCAAGCAAACATGGAGGAGTTTGACAGAGAAGAGTTGTCGGAAGGCAGTGATTTTGAGGAGTGTGTCGGCTTTGCTGACGGTATAGATGAAAATGATGACTTTGAACGCGCTGAACCAATCGAACTACCACCGCAATGCACGGAGTGTTTTCAACCGCACACCTGGAGTGAAAGTTGATTTGCCTGCAGACGCCACACCGCTGCAGGCATTTGAGCATATTTTTAATGAAGAACTTTGGATGCATCTTGTTACCGAGACGAATAGGTACAGTGACCAAACAAACCAAACTCCAACAAGAGCAAAGATGGCAAAGTGGTCACCCGTGACTGTGACGGAGATGAAGACATTTATTGGGCTGTGTATGGGCATAGGACTTCTTGTGTTGCCAGTACGAAGAGATTATTGGCGACAGAGTAAACCTCTCTTCAGGACGCAGTTCCCCCAAAATATGTCCCGGGACAGATTTGTGGCCATCTGGAGGTAAGTTGTATGCAATTTATAACACAGACATATGCATTATTATGCATAATAATACTGTTAATAAGTAATCATCAGATAGTTATTTATGTAATGTTTGTTCTTTATTTTAAAAACGTTTTATATTGCACATTCTCAATGAAGACATGATCACATATGGAAAAAATAAAGGTTGAATTTTTTATTTTTTTATTACTGCTTTTCACTTTTTTTTTTGGAAGAATTTCAAAGATAAAATATATTTTGAGTTCTATCTGCTACAGAAGCTGAGATATCAATAATTTACTAGGCGTTGACACAGTTGCTGAATTTACAGAAAAGCTTCAGGTTTTAGGGGTATTTTTTAAAATCGGCCATAGGTTTTTAAGGTGTTTTTTCCAGGCGTTTTAGGCCTAAATGGGTTAACACAGAAGGCCAAAATAAAAGGGAGGTGCATTCCAGAAAGCCTGAGCACCGTCCCATTCTGCTCTGATCCAGCTTTTTATCTAGCACACTGTCTTCGCTGACCTCAGTACAGAGCTAGATTCTCAACCTTTTCTGACTCCAACTCTAGACACAATAAGTAGAGAAAGATTCAAAAATATTGTAAAAATACATAATGCCCCTCTTCTTAAGACACAATATGGGTAATGCAAAGAAAGGCAGGGTTAATTTAACATATATTACATTTTATTGCATAATTCTGCAGAACAAATATTGGCTTCTGTTAGGTTTATTATTTATACATCATGTGCACTGTTAATTTGTTTGTCAGATTAGACAGAGCAGAAGGCCTTCCTTCACATTGTGGATATCACGGTGTGTGCGGAGGTCATCTAATCAAGACAGCCTTTGTGTCTCTAAGAGTACAAAGGATATGGGCACATCTTGGGGCCGGTCTGATAGGAGAGCTGCTGTATCTGTAACCCTGAGACAGAGAGGCAACCTGCATGGAGTTCAAGACATGGATGGCGTGTCAGTTTCTGATACGGACAGCTAAGCATCCACATGATGTGACACAGACTCAGAAGGTATAAGAAGCAGGTGATGACGTTGTTCGGGGCTCAAACTTTGCCGGACGCTTGCGGACGTGATTTTTGAGACCACAGCTGTGCATAGCTCTAAGCATTTTTCTCTGTCCTGTAACGACCTGATCTAGAATAAACTCTGTTACTTTTTTACTCCTGTTTTTATAGTCCTTTTTTATATGGTTTTAACGAGTTTGAGTTAAGAGTAGTAAATAACTTGCTCCCAGGAAAAGAACCGTGTGAGGAGGCCCTGGGGCGTTACAGCCTTTACTTTGAAGGGGACAAATCTTCCTCACTTTAACAAATTGGTGTTTCCGCCCGTGACCTGGAAGCAGGACAACAGAGCCACCGACGGAAAAAGCTCCACAGCCTGCGGCCGAAACAACTGATAAGGTGAGGAGATTCCTTATTACAAAATATCTCCAGTGTTTTTACTGTTAAAACACTTTGGCTGTGTTGTGATTTTCTGAAGTGAGCTGAAGCTTTTTATGCAAAAGAGGACAGAGAAATTGCTCAGAGTGATTTTAGTTTTTTGTTTTTGCGGTTTTTGTTTTGTTGTATTTGTTGTTTTTTTTTTACATTGCGAACGTGTACACATAAAAAAAAAAAAAAAAAAGAAGGAGAGAGAGAAAGTCGTGCGTTCTGCTGTGGGTAGAGGTTGAAAGTCCGACTGAAGGAACCCTGCGCAAACACCTTCAAAAATTATACTGCTCACTAGGATAAGTTGGTTGGAGAGCCCAACGGTTTCTGCATGCAGAAAGGGACGGTGATTTTATTCCCGGTCTGCCTGCAGACACGAAAGATGCACTTCTGAAAACAGACGCACAGACAACCAGTCACATAGCCGGCTAGAGTTTGCCAGTATACCTCCCATAAGGACATTTACGAAAAACCGAGACTGGAAATAAGCGAGCGGATCAGGTTGGAACGGACCTTTGAGGTGTTTTTCTCTTTCCTTCTCTTCTCTTATAAAGGGAAAAGAGAGAGACGATAAAATGATATTCCTCATAAAACTAGAAGAGACTGATGCCCGGATTAGGTAACTTGTTTGTCTAATCCTAAAAGTCGGTGGAGTGAACTAGGCGGAACTATATCTAAATCTTTTCTTTTCTCTAAATTTCTTTTCATTTTTTCCTTTTCACTGACGGACGTATTTCTTTGACGGACGCGCTTCCTTAGCAGAAAAGCGGCTCACTGAAGTTTATAGGTAAAAAGTTTAAAGCACCGAGGGATCTCACGTAAGACGTCGAGGTCTAATTTTATACACTGTGTGAACAAAAGGTGTGAAAGATGGATGCATGTGGACTAGAAATTGAATCCAGAGACACCTCGTTAAAAGCGAGTCTGGATAAAGGGAGAAATATGATCATGGCGAGTTATCCATTGAAGGATGCAGAACACCACATTAGAAAATTTGATGAATGGGTTGAAAAAATGAGAGAAGATGGAATGTTTGGGGAATTGGAGGGGCCCCCTCCAAACACTTCACAACGTGGTTTTTATTTGGATACACTAAAAAATAGATTGTCACAAGCTCGTGAAAAAATGGCTGGTGCTGGTGTGTTCGGACGAGACAAACACCAGAAGGAAGAAACAAAACTTTTGAATTTGATTAGACAAACCCAGTTCAATTTTAGTAACTATTTTTCTGACAAGGACCCTGAACAGGAACAGGTGGAGCAAAACGGGGCTCAGGGAGGTGAGCAGGCACTCGACACTTCAGAGGGTAAGAAAAACCTTTAATGAGTACATCTAATATTGCAGAAACAGAGCCTATTATGGACCCCAGTCCACACCAAGGTGTAAGAGAAATCTTTCGTAAGGCTGGTGATGCAATGTTTCCATCAAACCCATGTGTGCAGATGCCTGTTATGGAGTTGCGTGAAGGTCAGATAAATTGTGAAATAAGGCCTACAGAGGAAGAATTGGGACAAGAGGTACGAAAGGAGTTTCAGATGCTAGATTTAATAGAGGAGGCGGTAAATAAAGCATTTCAGCGAATGTCAACAATTGATAGCATGGGCACAGAACATGAAGGGCACAGTCTAGGGGCAGCTGACAGTCTAAGAGGGAGAGATGAGCAGAGGAAGCCACATACGGATAGCAATGAGGAAGATATAACCTCTCTTTTAAGCTCTGAAGGTGTTCGGCATATAATGTGCGCTCCTTTGCTGCCTGCGGCGCAGCTGATGCCAGCGGGAACATGTCCATAGTGCCCTCTTCCAAAGCCTTGCGCCACAGGATGAGTTTGCCCATAAACCCCCGAATCTTGTCTGTGGATGATAAGATGTTTTCATCCCTGCCCTGCAGCTTGGTGGTTAATTCGTTGAGATGCCCAAATATGTCTGCGAGGTAAGCCAGCCTGGCGCACCACCTCTCATCTGCAAGCTTGTCCTTGTGTGGAACCGCGTGTTCTCGTGAAAACTCCAAAAGCTCTTCCCGAAGCTCATAAAGATGGGATAGGACCTTCCCCCGTGATAACCAGCGTACCTCTGTTTGGAGAATGAGGCTTTTGTGGTCGGCTCCCATCTCGGTGCACAATTGGGAGAAGAGGCGAGATTTCAGGGGCCTTGTTTTGATGAAATTCACCATCTGCACAGCCTGATCCAGCACCTCAGTCAACTCTGGAGGCATGGTTTTAGCAACTAATGCCTCTCGATGCAAAATGCAGTGGTTTGTCACAATGTGCGGGTTTTGCGCTTTCACCTTTGCAATAAATCCTTTCACTCTCCCTATCATGCATGCTGCACCATCTGTGCAAAGGCTGACGCACATGTTCCAGGTTAACTTGTTCTGTTTTAAATAGTCATTAGTTACCCTGAATATTTCTTATCCCGTTGTATGATTTTCCATTTCTTTGCAAAAA